GCAGGGCAGCAACTGAAATAGCTTCCTGTCTTCATACATCCCGCCCTTCCTCCTTTCCCTCCCCGCCGCCCCGCCACAGCAAGTCCCAGACCCTTCCTCTCCTCCCTGGGCCTGAAGGACATTTATGAGGCTCATCATGGGGGCAGCATCTGAGGCCTGTTCCTGCCTCTCCCTTCCCGAGCATGCGGGTCTCTTCCCCCACCCCTCCCACCACCACCCTCACCTCCTGGGCCAAGCTCAGATGTCTCTTTCCCTGTTTATGGGCCGTTGGGATTTTTCCAACAACCTGAAATGAATCTACACGGCCCCACAGGTAGTTGCAGCCCATCTCGGGGCCATAAACCACGGCTGGGTCTTTCATCTGTGATTGCTCATGTCATAAACGAGTGGGAGGGCCAGGCAAGGGGGAAGCAACAGCCCTGAGCCATTCCAGATTTTTTTTTTTTTTATGAGAATGGGGAAAGAAAGACCCTGAGAAACATGTTCAAACTTTATGCCAAGCAAATTCATTTCACTATGGTAGGCTGTACGTGGAGACTTAATCTCTGGCCTTCCCCACTAGGAGTCAGATTTATGCTGTGTTTGTGTCTAAATGGCCTCCAGGGATGCTGACATTTGTTGTCGGAGACAGCGAGTGGTGTTCCTTTCATCTCCACTGAGGGGTGTCAGCTTAAATTATGAGGGATCGCTCTGACCTGCGTCTGGGTGTGGGAGCACTGGCAACAGAGCGGGGCCGGCTCCCTCTTGCACTCCCACGTCTCTGTGATTTCAAAGTCGCTCTTCATCTTCTGCTCTCCAGGCTTCCTGCTGGTTCTGGGAGAAATTTCCTAGCTCTTTGCGAACGTTTCTTTCTCTTGGGCCCATCGATAAGTGTGTATCTTAGGCATTGCGTGTTTTTTATGGAGAAGTTGGGGTCCGAGTCTGACAGGCCTGTCCCTGTGGCAAGAGAAGGCGGGAGCCTTGGTGAACATCCCAGGAGCAGCCTGGAAGTTCCCCAAGAGAGTGAGAGGGCACTGTTCTGCCCAGAATATTTACAACCCAGCAGATAAGGAGTAGGGCGATGTTTAGTGATGGTCTGCCTTCTCCTGGGCATCTGTCGGCACCTTGAGAAGTGCCAGAAGGCCCCTCCCTGCTCCATCTTCAGAATCTCTCGCTCAGCTCTGCTGGGACACCTGGAATTCCACAGCAGTGACTGTTCAGTTGGAGGCATTTTCTGTTCAATGCATAGATGTTTTTGACCGTGGGAGAGAACCCATCCAACTGTGCTCATCACTGACTCCTTGGTGTCCATCAGCAGAGCTCCCTGTCCCCAGAGTCAGAACCTGAAAGACTAGGATGGAGGATATGTAAGTTTTGATGGAAAACAGGAGGTCAGGAGAGGTCTAGAAAGTGATCAGCTCGCTATGGTATGCTGGCTGGCCTGGGGCCCGTTTTTGGAAGACATGCCTGCTCATATTGTCTGTAGCTTCTGCGCTCTAATGGCAGAGTCGAGTTGTACTGGACTGTGAGGCCTGCAAAGAGTAAAATAGTTACTGTCTGGCCTTTTACAAAAAAAAAAAAAAGAAGTTTGTAGGCCCCTGGTCTAGAGCATGAGGAGCTTCTTGGAAGGCAAAAGGTGGGACCTGAGGAGACAGAAGAGAGAGAGAGAGAGAGAGAAAGAGAGAGAGAGAGAGAGAGAGAGAGAGAGAGAGATTAGTAGCAGAAAATAGGAATCGAAGGGAGAAAACGTACCCCCAAAGCAATAGAAATACTTGAGACCAATTGTAATCTTGTTCTTTCTGTCCTCCCCCTCCTGCCCCTCCTCCCCCACCCCTGGCCCCTTCTCCTTCCTCTTCTGAAAACAAATGTTTTCATTTCTCCTCCTCCAGGGACAGGGAGAGGATGAATGAGCCATGCATAGTGCTCTCCACATCCTCCAAAAGTGGGCACCGGGGACCAGCCTACGAGATAGTTCTCTTTCCTCCTCCCCATTGTTCCATGATGGAGTAGCAGCTCTTGGGGAAAGTATGGGTATCCCAGACAAGGGGGGCCTCAGATAGCCTGCCTCGGGGGCTCCCAACAAATTTCAGCAATTACATCTTCCGTCTGGAACCGGCCCAGCCCCGTCTCCCTCCCTTCACGTTCCTTCTCGCAAGCACTCACAGGCTCCCAGCTACACAACCAACTCTCAGTGTTGGCTGGGGTCATGTCTGCAAAGAGAGAAATGAACGCTGGGTTTGTAAAACCTCAACTCCGACTTCCGTCGACAGGCGACTATTATTAACAGAAAACATGTGTCTCGGATCAAGAATTCTTTTATGTTGAAGTAATAATGGTGACGATGATGATGATGATTTAGTAGGCACCTGTTACATTCTAGACAGCGCTAAACCCTTTACGTGTATCATCTCATTTAATGCCAACAACCCTGTCACCCTCCCGGATGAGACAACTGAGTCGAGAATTTGTTCAAAATCACACATCATAACGGGCAGAGCCAGAATTTAAACCTGAATTTGGATGACTCCAGAGCCCACATTGATTTCCCAAATGATGGCAGCGTATATGAGCCATTATCAAGGAATCTAGCATGATTTTAGACCTTACATTTTCATGAGTTTTGTTCTCCTAGTTATCAATAAGCATTCGCATCAGACCACGTGAGGAATGACTGTCAGAGAGTCAGATTGACTCCAGAAGACATTTGCAAATATCATTTTATGGACAAAACTGGTTATAACACCTGAGGTTCCTAAATTATATGGTTGCATTTTCTTTTATTGTTTTTATCTGATAAAATATTTTATATGTTCCAACGCCTTTTTTTAAATTAAGCTTTTAATTTAAATTCCAGTAAAGTTAACATATGGTGTTACAGGAGTTTCAGGTGTGCAAGACAGTGAAGCCTACAAGTGCATTTTCAGATGTAGGCTGCACGTTGGATTTCATAGTCGTTTGTTCCAGGTTCAGCCCCCATTCATTGCTGGCCTTACAGGAGGTCTGTATGTTCCTGCGGCGGGGGGGGGGGGGGGGGGGGGGTCAGCCCATTTCCAAAGAAAACTCACTGAAGGCCTCACTGGTACCAGAAGAGCATCCTTTTAACCCTGGGAGTCCAGCAGCAGACAGAATTCTTGGCCTCAGGGAAGGACCGGGCTTTGGGGAGAGGAGGTCTCTGAGCAGTGGGGTATAGGGCCTTGCAAGGGTGAATGTGGAAAGTCAGTGGCTTTTTTTCCACTGTCTCTCTTCTTGTGGGGTCTTCTTATTTCCCTGTGGCTTTTAGTTCTTACGGGCTCATTTTTTCTTGCCATTTTGAAAATATCCTTCTAGAAAGATCCTAAAACCCCTTCCTATGGAGGGATGGTTGAGGTCGGCTTACTGGATTTGCCCCAGGGAAGAGCTGCCTCAGAGATGAAGGTGCCAGAGTAGCCGCTCCTTGTCATGAGGATTCTTTCTCTTTTATCTCTTCTTTAATCTTTCTGAGTCTTCCCCCTGTCCTCTTGAGGGGGTTGAAGCAGAAAGGAAAAGACATTCTTTCCACATCTATTTCGAGCCTCCTGTGCACCAGGACCGTGTTAGTTGCTTTGCCCACAATAGCACTACCCCTGAGCCACCTGCAGCTGTGTGTTATTGCTGCGGTGGTGCAGGTGGGGAAACTGAGGCCCAGTGCGTGACCGCACCCCCATAGCGCCACGCTTATAATGGGGGGGGCCGAGCTGGATGGAGACCTACATGTGCCTACGTCAGACCTGCTCGATGACATTGGAAGGGTCATGCCCTCAAGAAACTCACAGGTTAGTGTCCCTTCTTGTTCCAACTCTATGTCTAAAGGTTCATAGAGAAAAGAAGCCATTGTCCCTTCGGATGGAATAGTCAACAGAAGTCCAAATGAAAATGGCATATGCAGATGAGCATCCTTTACAGAGGAGGGTGGGATGAAGAACAGGGGTTGTGTGGCTCACACATGGAGGGTCCCCTCCACCTGGATCTCTTGAGGTGTCCAGAAGGAGAGCCAGAATCAGGACACCAGAGCTGGGGACACCCTTGGGATGGGGCTTCCCACTGGAGGAAAGAGGACAGCTGAGCTCTGTGAAGACCCAGCGAGAAACGAGGTTCTTGTGGGGGTTGTTTGGGCACATAACTGCCAATGGCTTTTAATGCTGAAAGTAGGAAAATGTGTCCCTCACATCGTATTCCGCAGACCCTAGAAGCATCTTCTCAGGAGCATGAGGTCCATGGGATGCACGAGGAAGTCTGGGAGAGAATGTGATGTAACTGAAGGCTTTGCTTCCTTCAAAGGTTACTCCTCCTACTGCTCACTGCTTATGAAGTAACCCACACAAATATAAATACAGTTTACTTTAGTAGTTATTTTATACACAAGCAATTTTGGTTAACTACTTACACTATATCTATTCTCAGTTATCAGTCCCTGCAAGTAATCTAATGCTGGTCCTCTATGGCCTTTTAAACAGTAATATTTTCTACCCCCTGGCAGTGGCTAGAAGTTCAGACACAGTGTCTAGGAAATTATACAAAACGTCTCCAGGCCTAGACTTGAAAAAATGACGTCTAATAAATAACATTAATAACCAGTGCTTATTGGGCATTTATTATATGCCAAGCAGGGTTTTGAGTGCCTCATCGGTAAACTCATTTAATCCTTACAACTGTTCCGATGAAGTAGGTTCTCTTCTGTTCCAGTTTTGCAGGTAAAGAAACTGAGTCAGAGAGAGTTAAGTACCTTGCTCAAGGTCACACAGTTAGTAACTTTGGAGCTAGGACACTATCCTGGGAGAAAGTTCGGAGCCATAAAGGCAGACTTTCTGATTGCTGTCTCTGGATTTTAGAGGTATTTTCCTTGGTCCTTTCCTGGAGGCTTTCAAGTCAATCCCACAGAGGTTACTACACTCACCTATAAAGCCATCCTGGGAACGTGGACCTGAGTGCCTTGTTATAGAATAACACCCAGCTCCAGGAAGTGGCTTTGAAGACCTTAACACAGTATTTTCTGCTTCTTTTAGGCAAAAGTGATGATGAAGAAAGTCTTTGCAAGTCAGCCAATGGGGCAGGGAAAGGAGCTGCTGAAGATGGCAAAGACCATAAGCGTCCCAAACGTCCCAGAACCATCTTGACAACCCAACAGAGGAGAGCATTCAAGGCCTCATTTGAAGTATCCTCCAAGCCGTGCAGGAAGGTACGGGGGGGGAAGAAGAGGGGAAAGGGGACCGGGCCCCACTGTTTGTGTATACTGCCCTCCCCTGGAGTGTCCATGAGCACATGTGGGGGGGTCAGGGTGGTGAGGGAGGCTGTTCAGATAGAGTCTATAGCCTTGAACCCTACTGGAGACCCCAGATCCCTAACGTGTGGCCAGGGAGATAATAGGACCTACCTATACTTTTGTGCATCTATACCCATTTCAAGTGGCTGCTGGCTCAATTCATGGAGAGCAACAGGAAGAAGAACAACAGTAGGTACCAGTTGGAGGATATAGACCCACATGCTATAACAAGGAGTAAAAATATAGTGGCTAATAGAAATCTATTTATCTATTTTTGCTCTAGTTTGTTCCACTGGATGGTGACTTTGGGATTCACTGATGTCTTAGTTCATTCATTTTTGTTGCCGAATGGTATTCCACTGTATGGATGCACCACAGCTTCTTTGTCCATTTACCTGTTGATGGGTGTTTGGGTTGTTTCCAGTTTGGGGCTGTGACAGATGGGTCTGCTGTGAACTTTTGTGGTTTAATGAGGTACGAGTTTGTTTCCATCTTATGTCACAGCCCAGAGATGAGCAACCCAAGATCAGCAGGGAGCTCTGTTATCCGTCACGTGGTTCTAAGGGGCCATAGGTACCACCATCTTTTCTAGCCACCATGCTGGAGAAAGAGGAAGTAGAGGGCAAGGCATGCCCCAAGATCCTTGACTACACCTCCTCTGAGGGAGCTGGGAAATGAGTCTGCCTGGGTGACCACATGCCCTGCTAAAGCTTGGGAATTCAACTGTTAATAGGAGGAAGGAGAGAATGGGTATCGGGGACAATCAGCAGTCTCTGCTACAAACAGCTGTGCCCGTTTATTAAGGACCCGCCATTTATTGACGGCCATATGCTCACTCTTGTTACTGATACGATACAAATGAGAACTTCTTAAATTGGAACTCGTGGAGGAAATACATTTTTAAAAACCTTAGCATTGTTTTTCTCTATCTGTGTGAGTCAGCTTTTGCTGTCAAAACAAACAAAAGCTTAGTGGCTTCCAGCAGACATTGTGTTCTTGCTCCTGGACTGTGGTTTGGCTGTGGCCCAGCTGGGCTCAGGTTCAGGCCTGCTCCACCTGTCTCTCCGGGGCTCCGGGCCGAAGGAGCACGCTGTTTCCATGAGGATGGCAGAAGGCAGGAGGCCAAGTCACACCGGGCAAAACCACTGAAAGGCTCTCCTTGGATCACACGTGCCGTGTCCACACACATCCCATGAGCCAAAGCAAGTCATGTGGCTAACCCAGTGTGAGGCAGGGGGGAAGGCCCGCCTGTGGGAGCAGGGCAGGGAGGGGGCATATTTGCGGAACTGACCAATAATACAGTTTGCCACCACCTCTGGCCTCCTGCAGACCTCTTTCTCTCTCTGCCCTCGTGCTTCCTAGGCTCCAGGGAAGGTGCTGGTAGGAAGTAAAGTAGCCCCAAAGTAGGCTTATGCAAGGACAAATGATCACCTCCTTCTATTACTACTAATCCTACACGTATTAGACTCCCAGCCTCTGCATGGCCCCATGCCTGGTGCTGGTGGCCAGGCAGCCTGCAGGCCCCCAGCCAGCGGGGGAGAGATGCATCTGCACATAACTAACATGGGGGAGAAAGCTGTGAGGACCATTACAGAGGGGCAGCCGGGAGCCGTGGGAGCCCGGGGAAGGGGAAGGTCACTTCTGTCTGGGGAATCAGGAAGGCTTTGTGGAACAGGTGGCTTTTGAGCCGGGCCCCTGAAAAATGGATAGGGTTTCAGCAGGTGGAAGTGGGGCCGGGGCACACTGCTATTTTAGTTGGCTTAGCAGAAGGATGTGTTTTAAAGATCTGGTTTAATCATCTCACTTCTCCTAGGCCTCAGCCCCAGTGGGGTGATAGAGGTGGGCCACTTCCCAAGGCGTCCTGTGAGCTCTCTGCTCCTGTGTTAGGCGTTCAACCCCATGTCGCCCCAGAATCTAAGCAAGAGGGCGGTGTCTTTCAGCCTCGCTCTCAGAAAGGCTGAGCTTCTCGCCTTTTCCCTTCTTGCCCTCAGCGTATGTCTGCGTGGAGGGCAGATGTTTCAACCCATCTCTTCCTCGTGGGGATCTCGACAGTCCTGTCTCTGAGGGGCCACAGCGCACGTGCTGATCAGAGCTGACTGCTTTCGCTCTGGCAGATTCCAGATGGCTCTGGTCTTATTCTCCTTGAGTGGGGCTCACTCAGGGTAACAGTAAATGTGAATATTCATGAAACACCCAAAGTCACCTAGAGCTATGAGGGACAGAACCAAAAATGTAGGTCAGTGAATTGAGACAGATGAGAACAAGAGAGAGCCGTTTGTTTTGCAAAGTGATTTTCGCTCTCGGTTCTCCTTAAGTAGGTCAGTACATAGGCATGGATGTGACTCTTAAAGGACAATGATAGATTTTGCTAATGTTCCCAAACCACCTGAAGGCCTAATTTCCAGAGTCAGAGAAACCCCTCTTGAAATGCACATCTAAATTAATTATCCCTTCCTTTGTTTACCTGGTGAAGGACCTCTCTCCACCTCAAGGGAAGCAATGGTCTTGTGTTTGGGATCACACTGGCCATTAAACACCAGCCCGCTCCCATTTAAGACGTGGCCTACGGGCCTCCCAGTGCGCCGTGTAGGGAATGTTCTGCCCCCTCCCCTGAGATGCCAGTGTTTCTCTATTTCTAATGTTCCTTTTGTCAAGGTGAGGGAGACCCTGGCTGCAGAGACAGGGCTGAGTGTCCGTGTCGTCCAGGTGTGGTTCCAGAACCAGAGAGCTAAGGTAATCTGCTTCCTACTGTCGTTTGTCTCTGTGTGGCTGGTTTCCTGGAATAATAAATACTTGCGGGTGGGTTATCGAACCAGAACTCACTGGATAGAGTAGTTCTCCTGATTCACAAATTCTGTTATCGATGGTCCGTCAGCCACAGCAGCCCCGCAGAAGGGGAGAGACGGGGCATTCGTTTTAGTGAAATGACTGATTTTCCTAGTGGCCATGACTGTGAATCTGGCCAGCCGTCTGCTGGAATAAACGTCTTTCTGTCTTCTGGTAAAAGCGGATTCTTTCATTCACCTTTATCTAACCCACCTACCAAAGCTCTTTTAAAATTGCAGAGAGAAACTTCCATAGCACCATGTGACAGGACTGAGGCCATATCCTAGCGTGGTGGCATGAATGCCTTTACTCAGTGCCCCCCATATACACCCCAACCGTCATGTTGTCCTCCAGATCCCACCAAGGTCTGCATTGCCCTGCCATAGTCTTTCATTTATTTTAGACCTTGTGCTCATCTAGTTTCCTGCCCCTAAAAAGGCATGCGGCCCGTGGCCCATATGTCCTAATCTGTAGTGGGTGGTAAATTCATATCTCATTATCTGATCATGATTGGTTAAGACAGCACGGTGCTGCCCTAACTGAATTCCTCAGCACAGGCCATTGATACGTACTCCATCCCGAGAGGACTCCATGTCTCCCTAGGTTTGGGAGGCCCCGTAACCTAATAGATTCATAAAGCAGAGGAGTTGGAAGCTCTGAGAAATGTTTGCTTGTTTTTGTTAGTGTCTCATGGGACCGGAATGTTCCACAGAGCACAGTATGAGAAGCATTGGGTTAAGATGCTCCTTTCGGGAAGTTTTGGTGGTAACAGGGTGCTCTAGGAGATCAGCTCCTTACCTGGAGTCTCCAACACCAGGGCCAGCAGACGGGGGGAGTGGGCGGGGAGTGCCACGTCCCGGGCAACACGCTGTCAGCAGCCCCTTGCTGCGCAGCTAGGCCCGCCTGCAGTCCCCAAATGCCACACTTACAGCTCACCGGAAACTGTCACAACACAAGCAGCTATGTTTATCTGCTGAGAGGATGAGCAGCCTGGTGCTTCCCAGCCAGCTGACTGCACCCGGCAGCGGGTGAAGAGCCCACAGCAGCCGTGGACAGCCTCGTGGCTGGCTCCTGTCCTGGGTCAGGCCGCAGGAGTGGTCCCTCCGCTTTCCACACGGGGCCTGTGTATCTGCTGCCGGCCCCCCGCCTCCAACCCCCTAACCCTGCACCCCTCTCCTTGTCAGATGAAGAAGCTAGCCCGGAGGCAGCAGCAACAACAGGACCAGCAGAACACCCAGAGGCTGAGCTCCGGTAAGCGGGGCCCCTCCAGCCAGGCCTGCGAGGGTCCAGGCCTTGCCCACCACTCGGCTCTTGCTGGAAGGCCACTTCTGGGCTCAGCGAAGCCCTGTCTGCACCAAGGGCAGAGGCTCTTCCAGCGAGGATCGCGCCCCGGGGGATCTGGGAGAGGGTGGAGGGCACCGAGCCGGGGCCTGGGAGGCTGACTGAGGTGGTCCGAACCTTCTCCAGAGCCCCCAGGACTGTGGCAGGACTCCCCGCAGAGCTCAGGACACACCCAGATCCTCCTCCTCCTTCCCAGCAAATCAATTGACAGAGGACACCACTGTGACTTACCCCTTTCTAAAATGACATAAAACAGTAAAAATACTGCGAGTAAAACAGTAACCCTCTCCCTCGTCAGGCACGTTCATAGTTCAAAGAGTGTTCTCACACTGAGCCGAGTCTGACAACATCCCCCACCCCACCAGGGGAGCAGAGAAGTCCTTTGTACCCATCTCACTGATGAGCAGACAAGGGCTCTGCAAGGCTGACCGGGGTCCTCGCTGAATAGGGGGTGAGTCAGGACCGGAGCATAGGTCTCTGAACCTCGGTTCCACTAGGCCATGCCACCCCAACTCTCCCTTCCTGTGCACACCTCCATTTGCTGTTGTGGTTAATAGGTCTGGTGAGAGAACTGGAAAGGGAGTGAAGAGGGACAGGTGGACTGGGTCTCTTCAAGGGAGTTAAAGGAAAAAAAATCAAATAGAACTATATTATGACCGTGTCATTCTTAAAGGGATATGGCCCCATCAGCCATCCAGCGGGATTCCCTAAGGGGTCTGCTTGTACCTCAAACAGGAATTGTCAGCCTTCAGTGTGTACATAAATCACCGGACATGTGGTAAAGTACAGATTCTGATTCCTCTAGTCTGGCTAGGCCCTGAGATTCTGCATTTTTAACAGACTCCCACCGCTGCCGCCCTGTGGACCACACTTTGAGAAAGGTCATGACTGTGACAATTGTTCTCAGGCCCCTAGACAGGGCTCCTTGCCCTTGCATGATGCACCTTGCCTTGTGCTTGATACCTGGGCTCAGCTCAATCTAGAATCTGACTCTTGCAGCCCAGAGTTCTCTTGGCTTCTTAATCTTCTAGGCCAAACAGTATCTTAACAGCAAGATAGATGCTCAGAGAGAGAAGTTAAACAAGGACATGGGGACCGGGGAAGGTTGTTGGGGCAAGTTGGTCAGGAGACCCGAATGCTGCCCCAGCTCCACCCCCAGAGCTGTTTGATCTGGGACCAGCCTTTCTGTCTCCTGGCACCTCAGGCTATCTGTCCCCGGGGTGGGATAATGTCACTTACCAGCCCTGTTGCACTGGGCCCCTGGGAAGTTCAGAGAGGGTCACTGACATGGAAGAGCCATGCACGTCGACTCCCATAGGCCAGCACACTCAGGGTGGGGGAAGAACGCATCAAGGCATTATGAGAACACAAACTCAGAGTGCTTGAGACTCGGAAGAATTCGAAGAGCAACTCCTAGGGCAGACTTAAGAAAGTAGAAGCCGTGGCAAGTAGAGTCTCTAGGTCATGGGCCGATGTTCAGAGAACCACAGCAAGATGCGGAGGCAGGAAGGGAGTCCTCCAGTCTCCGAAAATTCTCTACACAAGTGTAGCAAGTTGTTCCAAAGCACATTTATCAGCTCCACAAGGTCAGCGGGGCCAGTGTCATGAACCCCACTTGATTGACGGGCTCTCAGTGGGGTGATGCTGGAAGGATCTTTAGATCCATCACCTCCAGTGGCTGCCAAACTCATGTGTAGCCTTGGTTTTAATGATGTATTTCGAGAAAGCTCTCCAAGTTCAACTGCACCTCCCCCATCCCTCTTCTCTGAGGTTGACCCTTGATGGCCCTTGAGGTGGGTGCAGGCTGGGAACCACTGATGTCGCCTTGTTCCAGACCATTTTTTAAAAATTTTATTTTATTATGTTATGTTAATCACCATACATTACATCATTAGTTTTTGATGCAGTGTTCCATGATTCATTGTTTGCGTATAACACCCAGTGCTCCATGCAGAACGTGCCCTCCTTAATATCCACCACCAGGCTAGCCCATTCATTTTATAAATGAGCCAGGAAGTAAAATGATCTCACCACGGTTCCACAGCCAAGATGGCACTCCATGATTGTCACCACCTGGTGTTCACACCCTTGTGTCATCTCCTTGGACGCTGACGAGGGCTGACCTAGGGAGTGACTTCTGAGGTGAGGTCATGACAAATGTGGCAGGTTCTGCTTTGCACTCTGCTGGACTGCTGGCCCTGGGGAGGCTGGCCGCCATGTTGCCGGGCTGCTCAAGCAGGCCTGTGAGAAGTCCGTGTGGGGGGGCAACAGTGGGATGGCAGACACAGCGCATGCCACCCCAAGTCTGGGGCTCCCGGTATCACCGGCACCAGCCCCTCTCACTCCTCCTTGCAAAGCTGCAGCAAAGGCTGGTGCTGGACGGGGACACCGGGCAGTGGGGGTATGAAGTTCGGAAGATGCTCTTGCCTTCTCTCCCAGCGTGGGGCCCTGGCTGCACTTGGGGAATGATATGCCTTCTTCTCTGTCCTTCAGCTCAGACAAATGGCGGTGGGAATGCTCCCATGGAAGGGATCATGAACCCCTACACGGCTCTGCCCACCCCACAGCAGCTCCTGGCCATCGAGCAGAGTGTCTACAGCTCAGACCCCTTCCGACAGGGCCTCACCCCACCCCAGATGCCGGGAGACCACATGCACCCGTATGGTAAGATATACTCAAGCCCCGCAGGGACCTCTCACAACCTGCTTGCACGGGATTCTCCTTCCCTCCCCGACGCATCCGCACAGTTCCCAGATGCTCCCCCGAGGCAGCAAAGCAGAATATGTGCCCAGAAAGTGCTGCTAGAATCATCTAACCAGTGGCTACAGAAGAAGGACCAACACACATAGTCACTAGTGATATTTCCACTCCTTCTCCTTTTCAAAGATTCTTGTTGGTTTTATTTATTTTTTATTATTTTTTATTTTTTTAAAAGATTTTATTTATTTATTTGAGAGAGAGAGAATGAGAGACAGAGAGCACGAGAGGGAAGAGGGTCAGAGGGAGAAGCAGACCCCCTGCTGAGCAGGGAGCCCGATGTGGGACTCGATCCCGGGACTCCAGGATCATGACCCGAGCCGAAGGCAGTCGCTCAACCAACTGAGCCACCCAGGCACCCTCTTGTTGGTTTTAAATAAGAGGTTGTACTTCCATTGTAGACCTGTTTGCTGTGGTCAGATTTCCCTCCTTTCATCTCATACCTGGTCCCACATGCTCGTAAGCAGTCTCCGCAGTGATGCATGCGGGCAGAGGCCTTCATTGAACCTTTCTAATTGAACCGATACTATTTAAGTGCTCTAAATTAACTCCTGAAACAACCTGATTTGTGAAGTGAAATCATCCCCTGCCCCCTCCCACCCCACCCCTCCGATCTGGGGTTGCTTTAAATGTTGGGTGTGTGGATAGCTTAGCCTCCCCCACTCGCCCTGCTTGCTGCTTCAGCTGATGGTCAGTGCTGGGCCAGGGCACTCTGATGAGGTGGGCGAGCTCTGGAGTGGAGGGCTGAAGTTCAATCTCAGGGCCAAATAGAGATCACTGCGTTTTTATACGGAGAAGGTCAGTGGCCGATGTAATGCATCTAATCTGTGTAATCTGTGATAAACTGCACCGATGGCTAAAAATACAGTTTTATTTGGCAAACCTTCAAAACAGTATCAATCAGAGATACATGGCTCAGCTCACAGATTTTGTCAAGCAAAGTGCTTTTTTTGCCTTCATTAAAAAACATTGTTTGTTGTTGAAGTAACCCCTGTCCTCCCATGTGATGCGTACAGCAAACTAGGATTAAGATCCAGCTCTCTGCAGAGACTTCACTGACCCTCATTCTTACATAGATACATCTGAGCAGGTAGCATGAGTCAAGGCTGAAATGGAGACACCTTTATTCTTGTCACAGTGCTCCCGGAGCTATCCACAGTTTGCCCTACCCGCTGCTCTGTCAAGGGTGTAAATTAGTGGAGGGCGGGCACCTAACCATCTGTCCTTTGCAGGACACATTCCGGGAGTCAGCAGGCATTCATCTGATGTTGCTGTTTGAAGGGACCCGTGTTACCCCCGGGGGTGGCACGAGCCTCCTTCACAGCCCCGCTACTTGTCTTAGTCCCGGGCCTCCTTCAAGAACCATTTTGGGGGGCGAGTCCTGCCAGAGCCCTGCCCCTGCCTCTCCGGCCGGCCCTGCCGCGTCCTGCCCACTCCCCAAACTCACTGTCTAGACGTTCTGACATTTGCTTCTGCTGCACCCCATTCGGCCCTTTGTCCTAACCTAGTTTATCCTGTTTTCAGGGGTTGTGCTTTCCACCCGGGCCCCCCCAAGGCCCTGAGAGATCTGCGGACAGGGATCCCCTCCCTCCCTCCCGCTCCCCTCACAGCTCTCCCTCCACCCACCCTGCAGCACGCAGCACGGGTGGGGGGGGTGGGGGGGGGCTTTTGCATTCCTAGCCCCAAAGGGAGTCACTTCTTCGAGACCCTCATGACCATTTCCTGACCATTTCCTCTCCATTTCAGGTGCCGAGCCCCTCTTCCACGACCTGGATAGTGACGACACCTCCCTCAGTAACCTGGGTGACTGTTTCCTAGCAACCTCAGAAGCCGGGCCCCTGCAGTCCCGGGTGGGAAACCCCATCGACCACCTGTACTCCATGCAGAATTCTTACTTTACCTCTTGAGTCTTCCCCTCGAGTTCTGTGGCTGGGCTCCCACCGGAACAACCGTATGACGTGAGGGGTCGGCCGACGTTAGGATGGGGAGGCCAGGGGAGAGGTGGGTTGGGGAGGGAGTTTTGTCGGATTGCTGTTGTATAACGACCTGGTGTAGCTCGGCATTTCCAAAGACTGAATACATAATGGATCGCATAGTTTCATGTTTCTGATAAGTCTTAGCTTTAGGTATGAAGATGTGTTTATCATTAAGGACAGGGACTTTTAATATAGACATTCTCATGCAAACTAGGTACCTGGAGACTCCTAACAACTTCCTGCCATTTTGGGGGAAGCTCTTGCCAAGAGGTGCATATGTCTACCCATCCATATACCCATAGACAGACAGACAGACAGATAGATGTGTGTGTGAGTGTGTAACCTTCCATGCTTTATCATCAAAGTTTATTCCTAATTATAACAGACACCAACTGTACAGCAAAAGTAACTTTATTTTCAGTGTGAACTATATTTAAGGAAATGCTTGATGCACTTAAGTTATAAAATGAGATAATTTACTTTTATAAACTTTATTTTTAGTTCGAAGAGACTTGTCGGCAGGGCAGAGAGGACTGCAGCACCTGAGCCAAGAGCTTTGAGTGCTTGAGTGAATTCTGTTTTCAAGAGTGTCATCGAGGTCTGGAAAGCAGCTCCAGGTGGCTGACTGTACTCCTTCATGGATTCTTGCTCTCTTGGGGACTGAATCACAGGGCTTGGGTGGGACAGAAAAAGCCTTGAGCGTGTTCTTAGAAAAGGTAAAGCCTAGACTCTTCAGCTTTCTTTTAAATTCTGACGTGTAGTTGTGGGCAGCAATAGGAAGGTCAGTTTTGCTCTTGAACTTCGGCATCTGCAGGTGTGGGATGAGGCTGACACTATGTACCTACCTCACTGGGGGACGCCGAGGCTTCATTCACCCCCAGGATGCATGAGCAGGGCTGAAACTAATAGCCGATATTTGTTAAAATACCAAACCAGTCACTTGGCTAAAGAGGCTATGGGGGAGGGGGGGGGGCCGCACCCTGAGCCCTGAGGGCCACTCTGCCTGCCAGAGTCCCTTCTGCAAAGCCTCGGCTGGAGAGGCCAGCTCAGGGCAGCTCAGGGGGCCAGAGTCCTGCCATGGGGAGGAGGCTGTCCCAAGGGGATGGAGGAGGGCATCGTGGTGTTATAGACCAGGGGTTGACAAACTACGGCCCGCAGGCTGTGTTTTATGGCCTGCCAGCTACGAATGTTTTTTTACATTTTTAAAGGGTTGTAAAAAAAAAAAAAAAAAAAAAAAAAGGACTATGGGACAGAGTGTATGTGGCCCCGAAAGCCTGAAGTATTTACTACCTATGCTGTCTGGCTCTTTTCATAAAATGTTGGCTGGCCCCTGTTCTAGAAAGTCTATTTCTAAACAGCCTTCTGGAGCTCATAGAGGCAGCAGGGATCCAGGTGGAACCGCGGGGTTCTTCATTCTGTCTCGCTTCTCGGACCTGGAGCACAGAAGAGCCAGCTGCCATCATACACGGGGATGCTTCTGCACCCTGTCCTCCAGCTGTGGTGCTAGGACCAGCTACTTCTGTGCTAGGATGCCTCCTGAGAAAGCAGACGAGGAGAAGGGGGAAGCCGGGGGGTCAGCTTGCACTCCCCTGGGAGGGGCCAGTCCAGGCTCGGCCTCACTCCCGAGGACGTCCGGGGTCTTAAGAGCCTGGTCCCCTTCACTCTCTGCAAAGCCAGAGGGAATGTGCTCCCTTATGGTAGAGTCTGTGTTGTGTGATTTTTGTGCTCATGTTTATAATTTATGCAAACCACCCGGAACCCCAAACCAGTCTGGCGAGTAAAAATCATGCAGAAGCTGTATGACTTCGCAGGCTTCTGGGGCGGAGATCCGTTGGGGAATGTAGCAGGTACTATGTGAGTGAAAACAAATAGAGATCCTTCCTCCACTCGTGATGGCATACCAAGATGAAATTAAAAACCTCTTATAAATGAGCTGTCGTTGATTCAGGGGCAGGGGTGGGGGGCCCGGAACCAGGGGGACACGGGTATTTGTCAACAGGGGCCTGGGGATGAGCACATGGCAAAGCTTAACATGAAGGGAAAGCGAGTCCAGCAAAACCGAAGGAGAAAGGAGTCTACACCTTCCCACCAGGGTGAACGGGAAGACCTCAGTCTTCACAAACACGGCTGCGGGAGGAGGCCCGGGGAACATTCCGTCAGCACCATCAAGTTCTCTCGAGGCAGCGTGGTTTGCAGTGTGTGGTGTGAGAACATTTGCTTGGAAATCAGAGCAGGAGAAAGATGTCTCACGCAGGACGGAAGGGAGATGTCCAGCCAGGATGGGGGAGCAGAGCCACAGACTGGAGCTTCTCCCAGGGTTCTCAGTGGTCTTCAATGTGATACATGGGTGATTGTTACGACTATGAAGAAAAGAAGTTAGGAAACAATAGGAATGAGTATAAAACCACCAATTACACTCCAAGAGTGATGCCACTTCTGTGTGTCCTCCCACCCACCTGCCAGACCCTGTCCCCCCACCTCTGCTCACTCGCCCCGTTAGAAGTTGTCTCTGCGTCTTGCCGAGGGCCTGGAAGGAGAGAGATGTGAGTTATGAAGTGGGGCTGGCAGGAGGAGCCCACCAAGGAGGGCTGCCTCACACTGCCCTCCCCCGGGCTGGCCCTGGTTCCATCTCCAGCTTCCAGAGAGAGCCCAGGCTGGACACCGTTCCCTGTCCCGGTCTGTCTGCCCAACGCCTCCTTGTTCTTCAGCATCTTGGCCTCCTCAGGAAGCCTGCCAAGCTGGGTGCGGTGCCCGTGTGCAGAGCCCGGCTAGTGCTACCTGCTGCAGTGAACACCCCCTGATTTCCTAATCACCCAAACACAGGAGAAATTACTATTATTGCTCATGTGAAGGACCTGGGGAAGAGTTTGGGTTCAGAGGGCACCTCTCTTCCTTGCATAATGAAGACTTCCAAGATGTCGCCACCCACTGGTTTTCTTTCTTCTTTCCTCTTTACTTCTTTTCTTTTTTCTACTCCTTTTTTTCTTTTCTTCTGGCTCAAAGTGGGCACATACTGATCTGACTCCCAGTTTGCCACCTCCTAACTGCATGGCCGAGCTGGGCAGTTTACTTCCCCCTGCTGAGCCTCTGACTCCTCATCCACAGCACAGGTATGGCGCTTGTCCCTAGCAGAGGTGACAAGGTCAAGTGAGGTGTCACAGGCAAAGCCCGGAGCCTGTGGCGGAGGCTGCAGCAGGGGCCAGGCCTGCTCTCAGGGTTGAGTTGTTGATGGAGGGCCGTATTTGAGGAAAAAGGAGAAAACACTCTGGTTCATCTTGTCTCCCCCCTCTCCCCCGGGGTCAACATAATCACTTCTTATGTAACTTCTTTAAACCTCAGTGTGGGTCTTAATATAGCTTGACTCACAATTGTGGGAGAGTTGGGTTGGTTGGTTGGTTTTTAAAAGGCATGCAGATAAAATTCCAATTCCAAGGACACAGTATGAACTCTGTCCCCTAAGGAGAAGCAGTCAGGTCATAGGCGATTTCTCCAGCCATCTGTTATCACCTCAGGGCTGAGATGAGAGGGAGACCCCAGATCCATAGTCAGCCTTTTCTGAATGGCAGCGTTTTGTGTTGACCTGACGTGAATCAAAAATAGGAAGAAATTGGAATTAGTCAATCCCAAACCCAAAGACACATTTTTAACCGCACTGCAAGTGAAATCCAAGTATCTCTGTCTCTCTCCCTTCCCCACCCACCCAGTGCAAATACATTCAGTCCAAACTGGATACAAACAGACACAATTCAACTAGAAGGAAACCCAATAATACATTGTTTCCTTGAGTCCCTTTGTCTAGCATGTTGCAACATTGTTCCATGACAGGATGGGGAGAATTCAAAAGAAGGCCTCCCTGAACATACAGGCCCTGTCCACATGGCGGATGGGGAGGATTGGGGGTCCCTGGCCCTAACGTTTGTGCTCTATCTGAAGTTCCCAGGATGTGCAACCTTGACCAAGGCTCTGGGCCTCCCTTTCTTCATTTATTAAATGGGGACAATGACACTCGCCTGTCTTACAGGTTGGTTATCATGAGCATCAAAGGAAACAATTTGGAAAGAACTTGGTAGGCCGTGGGCTGCTGTACAAATAGCAGGGGGTCTTAGTGTCTCGTCCCAGGAGGCACACGCAGATGGGCCACCTGCAGAGCCTGGTGCCATGTGCAATGCTCCTGCTTGGGTGGGTGCCCATGGCAAGGAAGGGATACTGCAGATCTGAATGAGATCATTTCTTTCCTCCCCCAGCAGCTGTGGATTACTGCTGCCACGGCCGGATGGGCCCTTCTCCCCTCCAGGGGACGATTCTGGGAAGGGGGGGAAGCGTAGGATGGCCTAGCCCCTAGTGGACGGTACATTAGCTCACCTGTCTCTACCTGTAGTCTCTCCACCCCCCCGGCACCCCATGTGCTTAGGAAGGGAAGGTGGAGCCTGCCCTCAACAGGTGTGTAACTGACCAATTGGCCTCTTTTAGCACCTCGTGTGTTCATTGAATTCATTCTACAAGTATTTGCTGAGCAGCAAGAATATGCTATGCTATGGGTCATAGAAATGGAAGTGAGCAGAAAGAACTGTTGGCCCCACTCATGGAGATGACAATTAGTGGGGGGTGTGTGTGAATGAACTGAACTTGCATTGTATTGAGAGCGGGCTGGAAGAGTAGAAGGTAGGCCAGCGTGACTTAGTGTGGAAGGTCAGAGGTTTCTTGGGCTAGTGATGACAGAGTTGACTTGATTCATCTCTCCTAGTGCCCTCCCCTTTCAAGCAGCTATTCCATTTCTCCTTTCTGGAAGGTTTTGTTCAAACTGCCGTGGGAGGAAGAATGTGATAAACCAATGTCCTCCAAGGTGTCCATTGATAAGGTCTAGAGAAGTTGCCCATAGTGTCTTAGAGTGCAAAATGAAGGGAGGCCACTGTCCCTCAGTTGACACACATTTATTAAGCCCTGTGGTGGACATTTACTGTTTTCTGGCCACCCAGCATCTACTCATGATGCTGATGATGTCACCCTGATTTCCTTTGAGGACTTGATCATCATGCGTGGACTTTATGGGACTGTAGATCCAGGTGACTTAGACTGCTGGACCCAAGGAGCGGGGGCACAAAACCAAAGCTAGGCCAACGTCCCTTTCCAGGACTTGAAACTGAGGGACTGGCACAAAGCTGGAAACTTGTTTAGAGCTAGCCCACTTCCCAAGGGGCACCTGCCAAGATGACCACATTGCCTGCTGCCTGAGCCCAGAGCTGCCCACTCCCCATCTGTTGCCAAAGTCAGTCTCCATACACCCTTTGGCTCCATGAGCAGTCTGCTCTGCTCATCCTGCAAAAGGCCCCTTTTGCTCAAGTTATCCTGAATTGGTTTCAGTTGCTTGCAGCCAAAAGATCCTGATAGGAGCTATATACCTACAAATTTTGTGGTGTTTTGCACTGTAGGAAGGGTGTGTGTGTGTGTGTGTGTGTGTGTGTGTGTGTGTGTGTTCCTCTGGATTCACTTGGATAGCTGTTACATCCTTTATTTTATAGATGAGAAACCTGTAGCTCAGAGAAATTAAGCCCAAGGTTGCAGAGCTAGTTAGGGTCAGAGCTGAGTTTCCAATTCATTTCTCTTGGCTCTTCATCTTCACTTGTCCCCCTAATCCTGACTTCTCAGTGGCTAGGTATGTGGAAGTCAGGAGCACATACATGGTCAGGGACTGGGAGAGGTACAAAGAAGTCACAACATTTCTCCTGCCCGCAAGGAGCTTACAATCTAGTTGCAAGTAGAGAACATGCACATGAACTCCACATGGATGCCTGTGTATGCCAGGTGTCAAGGTGCTGGCACGCATGATGTGCGGAGGCATTCACAAAGGAGAGAGGTTATTGGGACAAAGGAAGGAAAGAAGCGGCTTTACCAAGAGGGTGGGGCTGGAATTGAACCTTCACAGATGGGCTTTGAGACCACAGATGTAGACCTTAGTAATTATATGTCAATGATTTGATATATATGATGAGAGGAGGAGGGAGGGCATTCTCAACAAAAGGACCAAAGTGGATAACAGCACAGAAGAAAGGATGCAAGGCACATTCAACTGTAAATGCACAAAGACCATTCTGGTTGGGGACAGGGTTGACTAATGGCGGAACTCGAGGAAGCAAATGAGATCAATGGTGAAGGTGTTGGTGACAGGAGCATGTTGCCACTAATTCACGAGTACAGATCAAAGGCTCCCCATTTCAAGGTGTAGCTGCAGCCGCTAGTTGTTCACACAATTTACTCTCTCCTAAGATGAACTCTCCATTTGTTACAA